GCCTGGACCAGCTGGACTATCGGGCCTACTAAATTGGGACCGAGCCCGACCCAAGCCCGAAAAAGCCCGACACGGCCCGACTACGGCTAAAATCCTGTTTTATGCAAGCCCGAGCCCAGTTCGACTTGCCCGGCGGGCTTGATTTTTAGGCCCGAGCCCGGCCTGATGGCACGCTCGGGCTCAGCTCAGCCCGAGATTTTCGAGCCATCCGGGCCGGGCTGCCCATGGCCAGGTATACCGGTGGGTATCAACCATTAGCTAGGCTGGACCTGATTACGGAGGGACTCGATTACGGACAGACACAACCAAACGCCCGTTAGATTTTTGTTTACATTGTAAACAGATGACGGACGAAAAACGATGAAGCAAACGCCTCCCTATATGCACCACATTATGAAACCGAGGGAGTACTTTCTTTTCAAAATATATAAATATGCTTTCTTTCTACAATTTGCCGTCCCAAGTTAAATTAGGAGGTTTGGGAAAATTTGTAGAAAAAAGTACTAATGTTCACAATAATTAGTTGATAACATTGGATCCATCATGAAAAATAATTACACATTGTATTTATTTTGTACTGTAGATGTTGATATTTTTCTATAAATTTCATAAGCTTCCAAAGTTGGACTAAAAACAAAACCAATTACGTAATGTATTTCAAATGGAGTATTTAAACTAGCTCAGTATACTCCCTCCGTTTCTAAATACAAGTCATTTTAGAGATTTCAATGCGGACTACATACGAATGTATATAGACATATTTTAAAGTGTAGATTCACTCATTTTGCTTCGTATGTAGTCCATACTAGGATCTTCGGCCGGGGTTGGTGGTCGCAGCTTGGGGTGCTGTGGCCGCTACCTACCTCCTGAGGTGGTCATGACCAGGCGCGCTGGTGGCCGCCTCTGTCGGCCTTGTGCCGGGGGCTTGCTGCCTGATGACCTGCGTGGGGTCGACGAGCGGGATTGACGGCCGCGATCAGGGGGTCAGGTGAAAGGATCGAGATGTACCTAGAGGGGGGGGTGAATAGGTACAATAAAATTTTTTAATTGTTACTTAGCAATTTTAGGCACTAATGCGGAATATGAAAGTGAGCCTAACAATTGTAAGTGTAGTACTAAGTGCTAAGCAAGATAAATAAGTAACACAAGTATGTAAGTAAACAAGCACAATATGATATAAGTAAGTGCTAAGAGACAAGTAACCACAAGTAGAGAGTTAGGGTTAGGAATAACCGCAACTCCGGGAGACGAGGATGTATGCCGATGTTCACTTCCTTGGAGGGAAGCTACGTCACCGTTAGAGAGGTGGATGTTACCACGAAGGCACACCAATGCCACGAAGGCTCACCCTATTCTCCCTTTGAGACAACACTATGAAGGCGTTTCTCAACCACTAGTGGTAGACCTTGGGGTGGTCTCCAAACCCTCACAAACTTTTTCGGGGGTAATCACAAAGGTCGATTCCTCTCCGAAGGACTCCTACCGCCTAGGAGTCTCCAACCTCCAAGAGTAACAAGAACAATGGGGAAAAGCTCAAGACTTGCTCAAATCACAAATTCCTTTGGTGCAAAAAAGGAGAAGGGGTGGATCTATCACTTGATCGGACAACTTCTCTCAAAAGCTCTCAAATCCCTTGGGGATCTAAGATTTGGTGTGGAGGAGTGAGTGAGAGAGAGAGAGAGAGAGAGAGAGAGAGAGAGTGAAATGTGTTCTAGGGTTTGTTCAAAGTGAATGATCAACCTACTCCCAAGGAGAAGAAGGGCTATATATAGTGTGAGCTCAAATATGACCGTTGCAGTGTAAGTGAGTGAGCAGGCCGGACATCCGGCATGGTAAGCTACGAAGAACAGAACAAACGCAAAACAAAAGAACAGAGGGGCTGGACATCCGGGGCCCAAGCCCGGACATCCGGCATACCAGGAAGGCCCGGACATCCGACAGGTGGCCGGACATCCGGCGCCCAGTCGAGCATAAAAACATTCTCTGGATAGCTATGCCCGAATATCCGGAATGGGGCCCGGACATCCGGCGCACAGCCGAGCATAAAGATGTTCTCTGGATAGCTATGCCCGGATATCCGGAATGTGGCCCGGACATCCGGCGTAACAGAAAGGCCCGCACATCCGGAGAAAGCTCGGACATCCAACGAGCAGCCCAGTATACAACTGCTCTCTGGATGGCTAGGCCCGGGTATCCAGCAAGGAGGCCGGACATCCGGCGTGCAGCCCGGACATCTGACAGCCAAGAGACAGAACATGAAGGTTTTTGGCATGTGTAGTATGGTCAGGAGGTTTGTGGCAAGAGCAAGCCTTTAACTAACCCTATCGATCACCTCTTAATAGTGCGGGATCCTATACTCAAGAAAACAAATATGTAATCAACTTTTATGCTTCATCCTTGAGTAAAATCACTTGTAAGCTCTTGATCCACACACATAGATGAACCGGGGACAATACCTGAGATTTACTTGACAACCATTGTTAGTCCCCTACATGTATATTGTCATCAACATCAAAACATGATGTAAGGGCATGATTGCTCTTTCAATCTCCCCCTTTTTGTTTGTTGATGACAACCATACATGTAGTATCATAGATGCACTAAATAATCTTAGCATTGACAATCATGAGAGCAAAAGTACAAAATAAGTCTATGTTTCTATTTGCTTTTAGCTCCCCCTCAAAGTGTGCATGGAATGCATATATGAAACCATAATAACTCCGACATAACAACATTTCATAACCACATGATAATCCAAGATAATAACATAGTTTCTCACACGATCAAATAGCACCATAGGTAGCAAACATAACAGAATAGGAGTGAACACACATAGTCAACATAACATAGCCATAGCATGACCTAAGATTACTAGGATACTAGGATACTACTTCTCCCCCTTTTACGGCAACAAGTAAAAAGGGGCGAGGAGCTAAACGGACTCAATCACGCCTGGCGGATGTCATCATCATCATCAAGGAACTCGGGATACTCAACACGAGATGGAAAGCCGAAGGTGGACGAGGATGGAGCCGCGGGAAGAGGATCATCATCACTAACGGGACTCCCACGGTCACGAAGGCGATGATAAGGCGCTTCTGAACATCATGATTCTCCTGACAGCTGAAAGTGATCGCCTTCATGATAGCAGATTGAGCCTTACCCAAGAATGATGCAAGCACTACAAAAAAAATACACTTCCGTGATGATACGTGTTTGTCACAGTAGGTTGCTTTTTTGTCATGCATGTACATCCATGACAAATTTATGACAGAATCAAGATAGTCATACCTGTGCTGTCGTAGAAGTGTTCCATGACATTACCAAAATTATCATCATGGAAGTATCCACTTCCATGACGATAAATCGTGCGTCACAGAAGTGCTTTCGTCAAGGGTGACCGACACGTGGCATCCACCATAACAGAACGCCGTTAAGCTATCGGGTCGGGTTTTGGATCCGATAACCCGTTAACAGACCCGACCAATGGGCATTTTCCACGTGTAAAATCATCATTGGCTAGAGGAAACACGTGTCGGCTCATCGTTGGGACAGATGTCAACCACTCATTGGACGGAAGGCGCCTATGATACGTCGACACGTGGCACGGCCCAACAGAGGCCCATTCCTGTGAAAAGGCCGACCCGTTTGACTTGGTCAAAAGGTGGCGGGCCGGCCCATGGAAAGCCTGTTAACGGCCTGTTCGCATATAGCCCATTTACAGCCCGCTAACCCAAGGCCCATTACACTCTATCCGAATTAGGCCCAGTAGCGTCATTTGGGCCATCCAATATGATTCCGGCTTGTTTTCACTTCTGGCCCATGTATGGCCCATGACGTCTTTCGGCCCATATGAGGCCCTATGTAACTCTTGGCCTATTAACGGCCCGTGGTGAAACTGGCCCGTAATGAACAGTGTATCACTTTACACCCATTAACG